TAAACATTGCCACGTGGCGGTCTAGGAGCGTTTGTAGAAGTGCCACGTGGCGGCTTGAGAACGTTTATAGGAAGTTTAATGGACTTTTAGTATATAATAGATAGATAGATAGATAGATAGATTGAAGATGTTTTTGTCAGTATTTTGGTACGTCATTCATGTTTGAGTCGGTTTTTAAATCCAGTCATCCATGTTTGAGTCAGTTTTTAAATCCATTCGCTTTTGGAAATAGCGATCCGTATTTGAGTCGGTTTTTAAGTTCTCGCTTTTAGAAATACAGAAAGAGTTGTATAAGAAATCTCTTTGACCAACCTCTCGTATGCTAATTTGAGATGATCAGACTCCTAATTATAGCTTATGATTTTGTAAAAAAAAATATCCTTCACCCGTTGCAGCGCACGGACATTTTCTCTAGTATATTCTAGTATATTCAATATTAGACTTATTTTTTCACATATTTTAAGTAGAATATGATGGTTTAAATGGATATTAAAAACAATATGCGATCTATATTTAATATAGGTCATCAAAGATTCTATATAAAAAAAGAAAATATACTAGTGAATTGACATATAGCTGGCATATAGTATGTGATCCTCTTTTTCCGGCCTTGTTTCTACCTCTTGGTCAGTACAACATTCACATGTTCGTATGCTATCCATCACCAACTAAAACACGAATATTAGAGAATGATCTAACATCAAATAAATAAAAGGAACGGAGTTTTGAATTCGGACCGGCTAGCCCACCACCTCATAGAACTAGCCAAATCATTTCTCCATCTCCATCATCAACTGATCAGATGGTTTACGAAAGGGCCGCTAGATAAGACCAAATGGTACGGGCGCACTAGATAGATTTTACCACGGCCCACGGGGCGCGCAACAGCTCGGTTTCAGTCCAGAGATGGCATTTTTGCATGACGAACAGCTCCAGATCGATCTAGCCATGCTGCAACCAACAACTATACATATTCCTAACTTAATTTAAACTTGCAGCAAATTAATAGCTACTCCGGCTCGCTTTGTAAAGAGATCGAGCTCGCACACATGACATTGATCGATCAGGATATGTAGAAAAGATCAACAGCACACAGACTTACATGGTAATTAGTAAAAGAAAGGAACTTGCATTATATTGCAACCAAATGTTTGTGTGGATCGCCGCCTTACCGCAGTCCAACTCCGACATGATCTCCTGAATACGATCGATTGAGATGGAATTAACGGATCAGCAGGACGAGATCTCCATACGAGGGGGCAAATTGGAGCTGGTGGGCCATCAGATCCTCGTGGGCCTGTCGACACGAGGGTTTTCTAAAGAAAAATGTCTATTTTGAGCCCCTCCCTCAACATTGTCCAAATTTCAGCCGTAACCGTAAAACTGAGTCCTGCGTCTTCGACAACACCGGCTGCTTCCCCTAGTAGAAGGGTTGAGAGAAACACCCATAGGTCTTCCGGCTAGCTCCACAAGGTGGTGGGCTAGAAGACCTGTGTTCGAAGCCTCACTCCTTCTAATTATTTGATATTAGATCATTCTCTAATATTCGCGTTTTTTGAAGTAAGGGTCGAGGAGAGCTATGTCGCTAATGGTCGCGTCGCCGTGCAGCCCCCTCCCTGCCGGTGTGCATCACTTTGTTGTGCACGATGTCTCCATAAGGGTTGTCCTAGACGAGGAACAAACCTCACTGGTACATCGGCGAAGAGACCAACTCTATGGTGAACGCACCACTGTGGTAGAACACCACGATCAGCAACTTGTTGCCACTGCGCTTCCCTGCCGTGAGGTTGGCGAGGTTCAACAAGTAGTCCTTGGATGGCATGCGAGGTTCAACAAGTAGTCCTTGGATGGCATGCTGGTGGCCGGGTCCAGGGATGCTGTCATGATGTACGTGCTAATGAACTGTACCAAGCGACCGCACTTGTAGAGGACCAGGAAGGGGAAGAAGAAGAAGTCGACGTCCTCTCTATCCCTGGTGCCAGTTGAGGCAAATGGAGCCAGAGGAGGAGGGCACGGCGCAAGCAATGCTCTCGCCATGTTGAACAGGAGCAACAAGCGTAGACAAGATGGTCGGCACCATGAGCAAGGCTAGCACGTATAGTGGAGTGGTGCCAATGCAGCTCCTAGATTTCCTTCCATAGTCGCTCCTCCGCCTCCAGCAGCCTCCATGTCGCCGTCTCCAATGCCAACGCTACCTGTTGCGAGGTCAGTTACAAGTAGTAATTAAGCGGGATCAATCGATCATCAGGAGGAGGATGGGGAGAGCGCGGGTTGATGGTGGGCTTGGCGTCGACAGAGAGGTCGAACGACAGCGTCGAGACGAAGGCATGGCCGTCATGGTGGAGATTTGACGGCCACCGACGCTGCTAAGGCAAACAAAGAAAGGGAGAAGGAGAGAATGTACTGTCACTTACATATATATCTGCTCCATCAATTTTTGATTTTTTATTTAGACTGAATTGCCTTAATATGTGGGTCTTACGATGACTCAGCCATTACCTCAACCGAAACCAGGGCACTATATTACCTCTGAACCTCGAGTATACCGATTTTACAACATGTGAAACGTGTTATACTGGTATTGCAGTTCAGAGACGAACTTTAAAATCGGCATCAAGACGAGGGATTTAAGATGAACTTATTCCTATATTTATGGGTCCAAATCTATTATATCTATAAATTAATAGAAAAAAGAGCCTCCACGTTCGCTCTCACAGCTTAGAAATTCTCACATTAATAAAAAAAATAAAAAAAAAGAAAAATAGAACTAGACTAGAATTAGGATTAGTTAAAAACTGAAGAAAGGGAAAAAAAAGGCATACTAAGCCACTCGAATCGGACAACAGTCAAAAAGGAAAACCAAATCATACTATACACTGAAACGGACAGGAATCCGTGTGTTCACACTGCTTTTAGAAATCCTAATCAAACTCTGCCGATTGTCATGTCAATAAATACAAATAACCAAAGCAAACCAGAAATCTTCAACAAGCCAACAAAAAACACTATCTATCTATCTATCTATCTATCTTATTATTAAAACAGCTTTGAAAGTAGGCACCACGTTCACTGTGGGAGCTAGAAATTCTCATATTAATCGGAGAAAAAGAAAAAAAAAAGAAAAGGAGAGTCCAAGTAGAAATACAATATAAAAATAGCTGAAATTTAGAATTAAAAATAAGCAATATTGAAAGAAGTTTCCATATAAGTACCCAATACGAGAATAATCAAAATTCGAAATAAAAATAAAATAAAATCCAAAATTAGAAAAAGAAAAGGATAATCCATATAGGAATACAATTTTAAAATAGCTGAAATTTGGAATTAAAAATAAGGAGTATTAAAAGAAGAGTCCACATAAGAACCCAATACGAGATTAATCAAAATTCAGAATAAAAATAAAGTAAAATCTAAAATTACAAAAGAAAATGAGAGTTCAAGTAGAAATACACTTTAAAAATAGCTGAAATTCGGAATTAAAAATAAGCAATATTGAAAGAAGTTTCCATACAAGAACCCAATACGAGATTAATCAAAAGTCGAAATAAAAATAAAATAAATCTAAAATTAGAAAAATAAAATGATAGTCCAAGTAGGAATACAATTTTAAAATAGCTGAAATTCGAAATTAAAAATTAAAAATATTAAAAGAAGAGTCCATATAAGAACCCAATACGAGATTAATTAAAATTCAGAATATAAATAAAAATAAAGTCCGAAATTAGAAAAAAAAGAAGAGTTCAAGTAGGAATACAATTTAAAATTAGCTAAAATTCGGAATTGAAAATAAGCAATATTGAAAGAAGAATTCATATAAGAATCCAATACGAGATTAATTAAAATTAAGAATAAAAAAAATAATATTCAAAATTAGAAAAAATTAAAAGAGAGTTCAAGTAGGAATAAAATTTTGAAACAACTAAAATTGAAAATAAAAAATAAAAATATTAAAAGAACACAATACGGTATTAATTAAAATTTGGAAAAAAAATTCTGAAATTATAAAAAGAAAAATAAGATTTCAATTAGGAATATAATTTATAAATAACTCAAATTTTTGATAAAAAATAACGACTATTGAGAGAAAAGAACATCTAAAACACATGACCAGATAAATTGAGTAACAGGCTTATAAAGGAGTAGAGTGGTATGAGTTGATACGACATATAAAAACTGTTAATAAAACACCAAATAGAATTCTAATGACAATTAAAAGGAGGGATGACAGACAGGCCGTGAAACAAACAAGCAAGACAGTTGCCGGGACTTCTATAAAGTTAAAAAAAACCATTTATAATCAATGACAATAAAAAGAAGAAGGAGCGGGCGGGGTGTATAGGAGTATAGTTGCAGAGCCGCCGATGGTTGACGGGTCTTCCAGAAAATAAAAAATGAATTTCAACGATAGTTATGTTCGATTTTTAGAATCACAATGCCAATAAAGAGTAGGCGGCAAACAGGCCATAGAGGAGCATAGTGATATCGTTTGACGGGACTTCTAAAAATTATAAAAAATGGAACCCAACAAGACAATAAACTCTAAAAACTAAAAGGTCTAATTTTTAAAGGTTCGAAACTTCTAAAAAGTAAAAAAAAAGGAGGGAGCGGGCGAGCCGTAGAGGAGTATAATGGCAAAGCCGCTGACGGTTTGGCGAGACATCTTGAAAAGTAGGAAGTAAAAATGAACCCAAACAATAATTATGTTCGAATTTTAAATCTCAATGACAATAGAGAGAAGAGACGGTGGACGGGCCGTAGAGGAGTATAATGGCAACGTTTGACGAGACATCTAGAAATTATAAAAACGAAACCCAACGTGGCTATAAACTTTAAAGCCTATAAACTTTAAAAACTATAATATCTAATTTTTAAAGGTTACAAGAAGAATGAATAGAAATAACGGTAGATAAAGAAAGTAAATAAAGAAGGAGATGACATAAGGGGTAGTAGCTGGTGTGACTTTTAAAAACTATATAATTAGAAACACAGAAATGATAAGGTTTGGTCTTTCAAAATCTTAAGACAATGACATAACTATTTAATAAATTTTAAGTAAAATCATAGTAAAAAATATATGTTTTGTTTAGGTGTTAGCCACGCAATTGCGCGGGCCACCAGCTAGTTAACGTTAAACAAGCATATCTTACACCTAGTAGCGCTTATGGTTTCGAACAACCATTACGCTCGGCCCCGGGCTCAACGAAATCCTAGGTACACCACCGCATGGACACGTGCCGCGAAACCCGATTCCCAACGCATCATTCTGGCCCATCGGCCTGCTTGGCCGGTGCCAGCTTGACAAAGCGCTTCCAGTACCAATGCTGCGCCCACACCGCGCCCATGGACTCGATCGGCACCCCCTTCGTCTCCGGCAGGAACGCCGCCACGAACGCCGTCATCATCACCAACCATCCGGCGTAGTAGGCGAACGCGCCGTACTTGAAGCTGCACAGCATCTCCAAGAACGACTGCGACTGCATGAACGTGAGCGCCGACGAGATGGCGCCGCCCAGCCCCAGCGCCGCCGACCTCACCTCCAGCGGGAAGATCTCGCTGGTGACCACCGACGAGAGCGGGACCCATGACACGCATAGCCCCGCCGCGTACATGCACACGACCGCCACCATCGCGACGGCGTACCCCCGCGGCATCGCCCTCCCGCCGTCGGTGCCCAGCTCCGCGCCGAAGATCCACGCCATGGCCACCTGGCACAGGATCAGCACGGCGCCGCCCACCATGAACAGGGTGCGCCGGCCGCGGCGGTCCACCACGACCGCCGCGACGGCGACGGAGGAGATGCTGACGACGTCGGTGATGATGGACCCGAGGATGGCCTTCTGGCTCGTGAACCCGACGGTGTAGAAGAGGAGCGGCGTGAAGATGCTGACCACGACCCCGCCCGTCATCTCGTAGAACACCGTGATGAGCACGGCCATCACCAGGTGCGGCCGGTACTCGCGCCGGAGGAGCCGCCGCAGAGCGCCCGACTCGTACCTCCTGTCCTCCTCGGCGGCGCGGACGATGTCCTTGAGCTCGGCGTCGACGTCGGCGGCGGCCACACCGGCCCCGCGGATGCGCCGCAGCGAGTCTCGGGCCTCGTCGAGCCTCCCGCGCAGCGCAAGGCTGTTGGGCGTGTCCGGGATGGACGCGGCGCCCACGATGACGATGAGGGCCGGGACGATGCCGGCGCCGAGGGAGAGGCGCCAACCCCATCTCGCCATGGTAGTGGCGCGGTAGTTGATCATGTCGGCCATCAAGAAACCAAAGTTGGCGAAGAGGCCTATGGAGGACGTGAACGCGCCGCGCCACCGCGCCGGCGATATCTCCGCCAGGTACACCGGCGCAGCCTGCGACGACGAAAGCAACAAACACAAACACCATGAACACTTCACGTCCTACAAAAAAAAAATAAATGTATGTGTGTGCAAGAACGTATTAATTGGCTGGTCAGTGATCGATCACCAAGCTGCTGAAGCCGACGGCGACGCCGAGGAGGATGCGGCCGATGATGAGCATGCTGATGTTCACGGCGGCCAGGTTGAGGAGGGTGCCGGCGAAGAAGAGCACGCCGGCGATCAGCAGCGAGTTCCTCCTCCCCAGCGTCTTGGTTAGGTGGCCGGCGACAAGGCTGGCGACCATGGTGGAGAGGTAGAAGGAGGAGACGAAGGCGTTGAGCACCTGGCTGTCGAAGATGCAGTACGCGTCCTGCTTCGCGCTGGACATCTTCCGCAGGACCTCCGGGAAGAACGCCTGCAGGAACGATTCCATCTGCGTCAACCCACCTGAAAATTCAACATTAAACGAGATATGGTGATCAAATTTCTATTCATGTTCCATATTATAAGTTATTTTAACTTTTTTAAATCAAACTTTTAGTTTTAACAAATTTATAGAAAAATATAGCAATACTTTCAGCATAAAACAAAGAAACTATAAAAAATAAGTTTAGTGCTAGATGTACTAAAACCAATTTGGTGCTATAAATGTTGCTATATTTTTTTATAAACTTGATCAAAGATTAAAAACGGTTTATAATATGAAACGGATGGAGTAGGATTTTAAAAATAAAGAAATACAATGCATAATTGAAATGTTTTGTACTTGCAGATCATGTGGTGCTCTAAGGGTAGTTGGGAAATTTTACCGATCATCTTGTGTTTTTTTATTTAGTTAGAGAACTTATTAGCTATGTGTGGCCGATATGTAATACATTTATATTATTAAAAAATTACAAGCAAATCCTGCAGAGATTCAAAATACAGGAATTTGAAAAATATTTTGTTTAGTGGCTTATATATGAATTTGATGAATCCGAGGGTATGTGGGTTTGGGGGTGGGGGTTGGTGCTAGAGAGAGAAGAACCGTGGACTTCTGAAGTAAAAAAAAATAGATTTGAACTCTCCTCTATTTTCCATATGGAATTGAGGCATAGAGAAAACATTATTTTTTAATTTTAATATTATGTTCCTAACTACCAAAGTAGGGAAAATTCTGATATCTGTATCCTTAAGTATCCCCATGGATTTTCAACCCAAAGGAAGCCAAAGAGGTTTTGTCATGGTGAATTATTTCGGCACATGCATGACATATATCACATGGATGAGACTTCATATAATATGCAAGCTTTATGAGCTCATAAATGGTACGATCGCAAAAAAAAAAAACTCTCTAGACATGGATTTTTCTTAGTAAATTCTTCTAAATTCATTTTTTAGCTCTATAATATTTAACTAATTCATTCATACCCTCAAATAATTATTACAAATCATTCTGCCATTCATCTATACATAATTTTGAAGGTTAGACAAGATAGAAAGAATGTTGAAGCATGTTCATGTGTTCGCATGGTTTTTGTTTCTTTCATAAAAAAAATCCAAATTGTATTCTGAAATGGATAGTAATGTATTTGTTTTGTGCGAAACATGCAGGGAATGTCTGAATGAAGACAATTGCATTCATTATGTATACTGGCATATACTCCCTCTGTCCCAAAATAAATGCAGTTTTGTATTATTCACGTTCAACGTTTGACCGTTCGTTTTATTTGAAAAAAATTATGATTAGTATTTTTATTGCTATTAGATGATAAAATATGAATAGTATTTTATGTGTGACTATCTTTTTTCTTTAAATTTTTTTCTAAAATTTTCAAATAAGATGGACGGCCAAACATTGAACACAGATATCCATGGGTGTACTTATTTTGGGACAGATGTAGTATGATATATCCACGTCAACTGACATGCATGCATCATCTTGAGTCTTGAGACTGTAGTGTTGACTAACAGAAAAGAAAATTGGAGTGTAAACAAATATCGGATCCATTTTTTTTTCAAAAAAGGTATCTTATATAATTTTTTGGAAGAGAAGGTAATCTTATCTTGTCGTGTACTTTTCATCAATAATAGTAGTTGCTACTACTAGCTAACTGTTCAGATAAGCAATGAATCAATGAGATCGTGAGAAGGCATATAAATTTGTAAGGTTTTTTTTTCCGAGAAAAAGTGATATTAAATTGAGCTGTGTGTTCATATAGTGACGGTTGAAGTAAAATACAATATAGAAAATAACTGAAATTCAAAATAAAAACAACTAAACAAACATTATAAAGAGTCCATGTTATATATTTACATTAATATAAGAGCATATGCCTAATTTATGCACGGGATTTTATGCATAATCACTATGTGCATAACCTTACTACTCTCCATTCATCTGTCCTAAAATATAGCAATACAAAACCGAATTTAACACATCATACTACTAGAAATCTGGATATATCTAGATTGCTAGATTTTAGAAAAAAAAGAGTATATTATGATGAAAAGCAACTGCTTTGAAACTCTAGCTGCGTGGTACACTCTTGTTATTTCCTTTGCTGATAACCAGATCTCCTGAGTAGAAAATGTGCAGAATCCCTGAACTTTCAGAACAAACTATGTATTGCTTTTCTTACTTTAATCCGAGTAATAAATGGATCATAAACATACGGTAATTAAGATATTTTTTTGAAAGCCCTACGGTAATAAAGATAAATCTTCTGTAACCTTAAGAGAAGAAAGAAACAGAGAAGCATAAACCGTGCCATGTACGGGAATTAAACATGCAGAGTCAAAAGCTCTGAAGGCATATTCAGATTTTCAGTTTACTAGCCACTGACCTGTAACACCGATGTCGTACCCAAGTAAGAGCCCGACGGCGCCCGCCGTGAGGCAGCTCATAACAACTGTAAATGTCACCTCGTCACCGCCGCCGTTGCCGCCGGCGGCTGCTTCACCATCGTTGGCAATCGATCCACCTCCAGCCATACCTAGCTAGCTACTTCTGTCAGGGAGAGAGCTCGAGAAGACACGGTCGTTGTATCTTTGGATGATAAACGATGCGCCACACTGATCAAAGACTATTTATAGAGTACGGCACACTTGGTTTTCCAGTTCTCCTACAAAAAAAAATCGTCATACGCTTGTGGTCCAAACAGACACAACGATAGGATTTTTCTTTCTCTCACTTTCATCCAATGGAAGATTGTAATTAATTCATGCACAAAACCAATAGTGATATTGATAGGGTGGAGCAACCTCAATTTATAGCAATTATGACTTTAAGAGCCATAGTATAATCGTAAAATCTAATCCGTGCGCACGCATAGATTAGTCTTACAGCATGATACCTACCGATCCATTCGATTAAAACCATCATGTGATCCATTCGATCACGTGTATGCATGCGTACTTTAAAAATTATATATCTCCATGCTTTTGGCCTGAGAGTCTCATATGAGTTAGTCTATTTTTAATATTTATTGAATTATATATTTCAAACAATGTAGTAGTTGTAAGATCTGTTTTAACCATTAAATTCCACTCAAATATATAATGAAATGAGTATAATATTAAATATATTTAAATATATAAAAGTAATTTACTTAAATGGTAGAAGTAAATAAGCTAGAAAAAAATACATATATGTGTGTTAAAAGAAATATCTTCATAGATAAAGTGTAGAGCCGCAAGTAAATACATGTTTTTTTTATTTGAGGTAAACCATATATAGAGATTATTATTTTTCCATAAAAGTTTCAGTGTTATAGATAAGACATACATATTACTTTTAGGTTCCGCGGACTCACCATATGCCAAGTCTTATACGGAATAATGCCTTATATATGAAAGGTGTTTCGGATAAGAAAGGAGAAGCGAAGTTCTATACTCAGACACTATAAATACTATTCGGATCGTATCCATACTTGCATCCTTAATTTTACTTAGATAAGTGAGCACCCAAGGGTATAAATACAAGACCTCCTAAGAGGAGGAAGAGGGGGAGAGCACGGGTTGAGGGTGGGCTTGCATCGGCGACAGTGCTGAGAGGAACATCATGGCTAGCGTGGTGGGGAGTTGACGGCCATGACGCCGCTGAGAAAAAGGTAGAGGCAAACAAAGAGAGAGAGAGGGAGGAGAGAATATTTCACTGATATGTGGGGTCTACCATTTTTTTATTTAGACCGAATCGCCTAGACATGTGGGTCTCACACTAACCCAGGCACCACGTTAGCCGAAATCGAGCACTATACTTCCCTGGAACCTTGGGTACACCGGTTTGGCATACTGAGAGACCGAATTTCAAAGTCAACATCACAATGAGGGACGTAAAATGAACTTATTCCTACATTTACAGATCCAAATTAACGTTAAATATGCTTGTAACGCTTATGGTTTCGGATAACCACTACGTTTCGGACAAACATGCTTGTAACGCTTATGGTTTAAACTATGTGCATACACATCTAGGTGTAGAAAATACTTTTCATCATTCTGGCCCATCGGCCTGCTTGGCCGGTGCCAGCTTGACAAAGCGCTTCCAGTACCAATGCTGCGCCCACACCGCGCCCATGGACTCGATCGGCACCCCCTTCGTCTCCGGCAGGAACGCCGCCACGAACGCCGTCATCATCACCAACCATCCGGCGTAGTAGGCGAAGGCGCCGTACTTGAAGCTGCACAGCATCTCCAAGAATGACTGCGACTGCATGAACGTGAGCGCCGACGAGATGGTGCCGCCCAGCCCCAGCGCCGCCGACCTCACCTCCAGCGGGAAGATCTCGCTGGTGACCACCGACGACAGCGAGCCCCACGACACGCTTAGCCCCGCCGTGTACGTGCACACGAGCGCCACCACCGCGACGGCGTACCCCCGCGGCATCGCCCTCCCACCGTCAGCGCCCAGCTGCGCGCCGAAGATCCACGCCATGGCCACCTGGCACAGGATCAGTACGGCACCGCCCACCATGAAGAGTCTACGCCGCCCGTGGCGGTCGACCACGGCCGCGGCGGCAGCGACGGAGACGATGCTGACGACGTCGGTGATGATGGACCCGAGGATGGCCTTCTGGCTCGTGAACCCGACGGTGTAGAAGAGGAGCGGCGTGAAGATGGCCACCACGATGGCTCCCGTCATCTCGAAGAACACCATGATTAGCACGGCCATCACCAGGTGCGGCCGGTACTCGCGACGGAGAAGCCGCCGCAGCGCGCCCGACTTGTACCTCCGGTCCTCCTCGGCAGCGCGGACGATGTCCTTGAGCTCGGCGTCCACATCGGCGGCCCCGCGGATGCGCCGCAGCGAGTCTCGGGCCTCGTCGAGCCTCCCGCGCAGCGCGAGGCTGTTGGGCGTGTCCGGGATGAACGCGGCGCCCACGATGACGATGACGGCCGGGACGATGCCGGCGCCGAGAGAGAGGCGCCAACCCCACCTCGCCATGGTAGTGGCGCGGTAGTTGATCATGTCAGCCATCAAGAAACCCAAGTTGCCGAAGAGGCCTATGGAGGCCGTGAACGCGCCGCGCCACCGCGCCGGCGCTATCTCCGCTAGGTACACCGGTGCAGCCTGCGACCAAAGCAACAATGCAAACACATGCAATGAACGCATGAAAACTTCACGTCCTACAAATAAGAAAAAATTTACTTTACTTAAAAAATTAGTTCGAGAGATACCTAAATTATAAATTAAAATTTTTAGTATCTCGAGATACTTTACTTAGAGGTATCAAATTTTACAATAAAAAATATGCTACCTCCCGAGATATTTTAAGGATGATAAAATTAACCTACAAATAAATAAATGTATGTATGCACGAATGTATTAATTGGCTGGTAGCGATCGATCACCAAGCTACTGAAGCCGACGGCGACGCCGAGGAGGATGCGGCCGATGATGAGCATGCTGATGTTCACGGCGGCCAGGTTGAGGAGGGTGCCGGCGAAGAAGAGCACGCCGGCGATCAGCAGCGAGTTCCTCCTCCCCAGCGTCTTGGTTAGGTGGCCGGCGACAAGGCTGGCGACCATGGTGGAGAGGTAGAAGGAGGAGACGAAGGCGTTGAGCACCTGGCTGTCGAAGATGCAGTACGCGTCCTGCTTCGCGCTGGACATCTTCCGCAGGACCTCCGGGAAGAACGCCTGCAGGAACGATTCCATCTGCGTCACCCCGCCTGAAAATTCAACATCCAACAAGATTTGGTGGTGAAATTACTAAGTGCCCTTTTGAAATGTAGTAGAATTTTAAAAGCTAAGAAATACAATGCATAATTGAGATGTTTTGTACAGGTAAATGATGTGGTGCTTTAAGGTAGTTGGGAATTTTACCCATCACCTCCTGTCATTTTATTCATTTAGTCATAGAGCTAATTAGCTGTGTGTCTTGTGAGAGACCGAGATGTAGGGATGAAAGTGGAGCAGATAGTTTTTGTCACCTCCGGAGAAAAATGAATCGGAGTGGATAGTTCAGATATGGATATGAATACAAATATTTTCTCTTGGATAGAAATACAAATATGGTATCGAGGTTTCCGATGGATACGGATATCCGATGAATAGTGTTATTCACATATCCGCTGAAACCATGAGACATACCTCATTTCTTTATAACTTTACGATCTTCGATATACCTTTTTAGATTATAATAGTAGCGCATCTCTTATAGTAGTCCACACTATTAATATTATTTTAAATATAAATATTTTTATAAATTATACTATATTTTATATAAAATGAGCAATTATATATATATATATATATATATATATATATATATATATGATATTTGTTTCTATTAGAAGTTAAGATGGTTTTTGTGTTCTGTGAAAAAACTATTTCTGTATTCGTATCCGATTATATTCGATCCGTATTCGTATTCGAATTCATTATATGTCACTGACTTTGTCACATGTCAACGATTTGCCACTGACTTTATCACGTTCTACAATATGCCATCGCCTTTTTCTTAACTTCTACGATTTACCATCGTTATCCGGTTAGTTTCCGTTAGTATTGTACAAATTTGTCGAAATGATCAAAATACCTCTGGGATAAAAACTTTCAAAATTTGGATAAAAATTCTGAAATATCAGATTTTAAGTTTTTGTCCAAAATTTGGATGTTTACAATCTTATGTTTATAATATGATATTTTGATATTTTTGTCACGGTGAATTATTTCTTCGCATGCATGACATATATGGCATAGATGAGACTTGTATATAATGCATGTATATATATATCGTGTATGGAACCTTGTGGTCTTTTCCCCCAAATAGAATGGACTAATAATACGAAAGCTTTCTGAGCTCCTAAATGGAACGATTGCCAAAAAAAAAATCTATGTATGGATTTCTTAGAAAATTCTTTTAAATTCATTTTTAGCTTTATAATATTTAATTAATTCATTCATACCCTCAAATAATTATCACAAATCAAGGTTGGACATGGCAGAAAGAATGTTGAAGCCTGTTGATGTGTTCGCATGGTTTTTGTTTCTTTTATAAAAATTCCAAATTGTACTGTTTTTTTCCTGAAACAGATTTATTATTGATATTGAGGCGGCTGTAGTTGAAGCAAGATGTGATTCACGAAGTTGTGAGATAATGTGTTTGTTTTGTGCGAAATTAAAGAATGAAGACAATTGCACTCATTATGTATGCTGGCATATATATGATATATCCACATCAACTGACATGCATGCATCATCTTGAGTCTTGAGACTGTGGTGTTGACTAACAGAAAAGGATATGCCTGTTTTTGGTGCCGATTTGGAGTGTAAACAAATATCTGGATCCTTTTTTTTTTTCAAAAAAGGTATCTTACATAACTTTTTTCGAAGAGAAGGTAATCTTATCTTGTCATGTAGGAGTACTTTTCATCAATAGTTGCTACTACTAGCTAACTGTTCAGATAAACAATGAATCAATTAGAAAACCCATCAATTATATTCTTATAAAGTTACTAAAACAAGGTGAAAAGAAGTCATCATGAGAAGGTATATAAATTTGTAAGTTTTTTTTAAGAAAAAGATGATGTAGTAAAAATTGAGTTGTGTGTTCATATAGTAATGGTT